TTTTGTTTTTGTTGTTGTTGTTGTTGTTGTTGTTGTTGTTGTTGTTGTTGTTGTTGTTGTTTTGAATTTTCATTCTTAAAGAATAATTATTGTCGATCCCCACCCACCGGTGCACATTGATTTTTTCAATTGAGTTGCCCCCCCCGGGGCTCGCACCTTGTTTTGTCAAGGAAGGTCTTCCTACTCAAACTGGCCCCCTGGCCCCTGGGTTACAACAACAACGGCTCCCGCTTGAGATTTCCTCACCATTTAACCAGGACCCCCGCTCCCGCCCGAGACTTCCTCGCATTTTATTTAGGAATCGCGCTCTCGCTTGGGATTTCGTTACGATTTATTAAGGAATCGCTCCTCTTGCGCTCTGGAGTCGCGCTCTCGCTGGAGACTTGCTTGCAATTTACTGAAGAATAGCGCCCTTGCGTTGGAATTTCCTCGATTTACACCAGCGCCGCGCTCCCGACACCCAGGCACCCAGGAGTCGCGCTCACGCTTAGGACTTCTTCACAGATTACTTAGGAATCGGGATCTCGCTGCCCTTCGTGGCCCCGTAGCAGCCCTTCGTGGCCCCCTCGCTTTGTTTCGTGGCCCCGTTGCGGCCCTTCGTTGCCCCCTCGCTTTGCTTCGTGGCCCCGTTGCAGCCCCTCGTGGCCTCCTCGTTGCCCTTCGCGGCCCCGTTGCAGCCCTTCGTGGCCCCCCGCTTTGTTTCGTGGCCCCGTTGCAGCCCTTCGTGGCCCCCTCGCTGCCCTTCGTGGCCCCGTTGCAGCCCTTCGTGGCCCCGTTGCAGCCTTTCGTGGCCCCCTCGCTGCCCTTCGTGGCCCCGTTGCAGCCCTTCGTGGCCCCCTCGCTTTGTTTCGTGACCCCAGATATGTATGCCCTTCGTGGCCCCCGCTCGTTCGCGCCCGTGGTGGCCACATATGCATGCCCTTCGCGTCCCCGCTGTCGCCCTTCGTGGCCCCCTCGCTGCCCTTCGTGTCCCCATTGCTGCCCTCAGTGGCCCCGTCCGTACCCCCCGCGGCCCAACATACGTATGCCCTTCGTGGCACCCGCTCGTTCGCGCCCGTTGTGGCCCCATGTGCATGCCCTTCGTGGCCCCGCTGTCGCTATTTGTGGCCCACTCATTGTCCTACGTGGCCCAGGTGCTACCCTCAGTGGCCGCATCGTTGCCTTCTGTGGCGCCGCATTATCTGCCCTTCGTGGCCCACGCTCGTTCGCGCTCTTCGTGGCCCCATGAGCATTCCCTTCGTGTCCCCGCTGTCGCCCTTCGTGGCCTACTTCGTGTCCTTCGTGGCTCTGCTGTCGTTCTCTCTCGCTCTCGCTTTCGCTCGTCGTCGTCGTCGCCGTCGCCGTCGTTGCCGTCGTCGTCGACGTCGTCGTCGTCGTCGTCGTCGTCGTCGTGGTCGGTCCCCTGTCCGTCCCTTTTGGGGTCGGGTCGACGGTCCGCGGCCGCCCCGCCGATCAGCGCTGCCGCTGGCCAGGCCGACGGTCCGCGGCCGCCCCGCCGCTTGCCTGGGCCCGGCCTGCAGGGAAGAAAGTTATACCCCCACCAAAAGGGGGTGTTTTTTTTGGCGACGAAGACAAAAGGGCGGGTATCGACTGTGGTGGGAAATTCGCGATTATTACGACACTCGAGCAGAGCAGATAAGGCGACAGTTTAAAATGATTGTTGTTGTGCGTGTTGAACATTATTTCCTCCCAAAGAATAATATTTGTGGGGCCCCTGCGTGCCACGCCCCCCCGCGCGCCTAGGCCGCGCCACATTTTTCATTCTTTCGAGAGGAAGTCTCAGGAAAAACCGGTTGGTCCGGAATTCAGGTTGTGTTGTTACGGATCGGTTTCCTTGAAAAAATTATCCCAGTGCGACCCTACCTAGGAGTGGAGCATTTAGGAAACAACAGTCTAAGCTAAGCTAAGCTAAGCTAAGATGGGGTAAGCATAAGCCTAAGCTAAGCTAAGCTAAGCTAAGATGGGGTAAGCTAAGCTAAGCTAAGCTAAGCTAAGCTAAGCTAAGCTAAGCGAAGCGAAGCGAAGCTAAGCTAAGCTAAGCGAAGCGAAGCGAAGCTAAGCTAAGCTAAGCTAAGCTAAGCTGGGCTAGGCAAAGCTAAGCTAAGCTAAGCTGTGCTGAGCTAAGCTAAGCTAAGCTAGGCTAGGCTAGGCAAAGCTAAGCTAAGCTAAGCTAAGCTAAGCTAAGCTAAGCTAAGCTAAGCTAAGCTAAGCTAACATGCGATAAGCTAAGCTAAGCTAAGCTAAGATAAGCTAAGCTAATCTACGCTAAGCTAAGCAAAGCTAGGCTAGGCTAAGCTAAACTAAGCTAAGCTAAGCGAAATAAGACCGGTAAGTAATCTAAGTCTAAGCTGGGCTAGGCTCCAAAGCTAAGCAAGCAAGCTGGGGGAAAATAACAAGAGCTGAGTCTAAGCCTAAGCTAAGCTAGGCTAGGCTACTAGGCTAGGCAAACGCTAAGCATTAAGCCTAAGCCTAAGCTAAGCAAGCTAAGCGAAGCTAAGCTAAGCTAAGCTAAGGCTAAGCAAGTAACGAACCAGCTAAGCTAAGCTAAGCTAAGCTAAGCTAAGCTAAGCTAAGCTAAGCTAAGCTAAGCTAAGCTAACGCTAAGCGAAGCTAAGCTCAGGGTAAGTTAAGCTAAGCTAAGCTGGGCTAGGCAAAGCTAAGCTAAGCTAAGCTGAGCTGAGCTAAGCTAAGCTAAGCTAGGCTAGGCTAGGCAAAGCTAAGCTAAGCTAAGCTAAGCTAAGCTAAGCTAAGCTAAGCTAAGCTAAGCTAAGCTAAGCTAAGCTAAGCTACGCTAAGCTAAGCTAAGCTAAGCTAAGCTAAAGCTAAGCGAAGCTAAGCCCAGGGTAAGTTAAGCTAAGCTAAGCTGGGCTAGGCAAAGCTAAGCTAAGCTAAGCTGAGCTGAGCTAAGCTAAGCTAAGCTAGGCTAGGCTAGGCAAAGCTAAGCTAAGCTAAGCTAAGCTAAGCTAAGCTAAGCTAAGCTAAGCTAAGCTAAGCTAAGCTAAGCTAAGCTAAGCTAAGCTAAGCTAGCTAAGCTAAGCTAAGCTAAGCTAAGCTAAGCTAAGCTAAGCTAAGCTAAGCTAAGCTAAGCTAAGCTAAGCTAAGCTAAGCTAAAGCTAAGCGAAGCTAAGCTCAGGGTAAGTTAAGCTAAGCTAAGCTAGGGGAAACCAGGGCGCAAACTGGGGGGAAACCAGGGGGGGCACAACCCGGGGGAACCCCCCGGGGTGGGTTCATTTGCCCGCCCCTCTCTTATGCACACTAAGGAAGCAACCCTTCTAGGCAAGAGCCTAGGTAGAGGAAATAAGGCAAAGTGGACATTTCTTGTTCTAACAGGACCAAACTTCAAGAATCCCTTGCAAAAAATGACACGAAGTGCACATTCGCGCGCGCAAGACGAAATCCTTCCAAAACCTTAGTCTTCGTAGCGATTTTCACATAAAAACATGAAAAACCAAATGGTTTTTCAAAAAAAGGGTTTCAAAAATTCACCCCGCGCGCTCTTGCGGATTTCTTAGGAAACCCAATACTTTTTCAACATTTCTGTCAAACGGGCTCTTGCGAGCAACTTTTTCACGTGCTTCGAACTTCTGCAACAACGGTTGCGCGCATGCCAGGGCCATCATCCCTGTCAAATAATACCATATGGACACATTCGTTTTTTCTTCGCGCGCGCACGCCGTCGTCGTCGGCCGCGGGGCCCTGAATAGTAGCCACGGTCGTCCGCATGCCACGAAGTGAAGTGTCCGAACGTCATAGGGCGGGAAGCTGGGTGTGGGTGGTGGCGAAGAGTCGTATGGAAATTTGGTAGAGCTTGAACCGGCCCCCCCACAAAGTGAGGGTATTGCCCGCCTCCTATGAAAACCCTGGCACTGGTGAGAACGGAGTGTCCCCAGTCTTAAATGATTGTTGTTGTTGTTGTTGTTGTTGTTGTTGTTGTTGTTCTGTTCGTCCGATGTCCAGCTGATCCTTACAAGTTCCAGTCTAGAATAGTAGCTTCTAACCTGACACTGAGACTCAGCTTCGCCAGTTACCTAGCATTCCCCTGAGGCCTGGGCCCATGGGAGCCTATGCCAAACACTATGCAGGATAACTCAACGTGCGCTCTGCGGTGTTTCGTCGCTTCGTTCACTCCGCCGGCCCATCCTGCATCACTGGTGCTATCTGTTTGTGTGTTCGTGGCGAACGAAAAGGTGAAGGAGGAGAACGAGGAGGAGGAGGAAAAGGGGGGTGAGGATGAGGAGCAGGTCTCTGGTGAGCTTGTTGTGCCAAGTTGGGGCGAAACTGGTCATGGACAAGGCGCCTTTTTGAGAGTCGTTTGGGGTCTTCTGGGAGGCCTCTCGGGGGCCTTTTGGCGGTGCGCTGCCGTTCGAGGGTTGAGGGTCGTTGACGCAAAAGGGGGAGAAGGAGGAGAGGGAAAAACAAAGGAACGGTTGGCGAGACGGCAGGAGGCCTCTTTTTGGGCCCGTTGGCAGTTGGGACCTCCTGGGGCGGCACAGGGGCCTCTTGGGGGTCTCTTGGGGGTCTCTTGGGGTCTCTCGGGGGCCTCTCGGGGGCTTCTTGGGGGGGAGGCCCTTGGGCATCCAGGGGACTTAGACTGCGCATGGAGCTCGACATGTCAATGGGGTCCCTCGGCTGGGGCCCTGCTCTCGGAGCCGTCTCGGGTCTCTGGCCGTTCGGGAGGAGGAGGAGGAGGAGGAGGAGGAGGAGGAGGAGGAGGAGGAGGACGGAGGAGGAGGGAGAGGAGGACGAGGAGGGGAGGCAGGAGGAGGAGGAGGAGGAGGAGGAGGAGGAAGGGAGGAGGAGGAGGAGGAGGAGGAAGGAGGAGGAGGAGGAGGAGGAGGCGGAGAGGAGGAGGAAGGAGGAGGAGGAAGGCGGAGGAGGAGGAGGAGGAGGAGGAGGAGGAGAGGAGGAGGAGGAGGAGGGGAGGAGGGAGGAGGAGGAGTAGGAGGCGGAGGAGGAGGGGGAGGAGGAGGAGGAGGAGGAGGAGGAGGAGGAGGAGAGAGGCCGTTCTGCTACCAGCACACCGGCAACATCCGCTGAGGGCGCAGCCGGCTCCCGCCTCCTGCTTCCGTGGCTCCCGCCTGCCCCCCCCTGCCGCCCCGCTCTGCCGTCTCCCCGTGCGCCTCCCCGTCGGGCGGCGCGAGCTTTCCACCCATAGCGGTCCTGGCCAGGCCAATCCTGGGCGCAGGATCGGGGGCATGTTGATCAAGGGTAGGATCGGGGGCAACGATAGGGGGATAGGCCATCGGGGGATGTATCGACCATCGATCGCCCATTGATTGCCGCTAGAAGCCCGATAGCCCCAACCCGCCCACGAAGGTGCGGGTTCGCTATCGGGGGCTTCTCGCCGATTTATCGACGATGTATCGCCGATTCCATGTCGGTGCATCTCCCCCATACCAGCCCCCTTTCATCGTTGCTCCTCGTTTTGCGGGCGAAAAAGGGGTATGAAGGTATAACCTAATTTTGTCCACCACCCGGGGCGCCTGTCCCCGGGCGGCTGGGAAGCTTGAATCCTGATGTGCCACCGTAGGGACATCAATCTTCCATGCGCCCTGGGACAGGCGCCCCCCACGGCGAACAAGAATCCAGTCTTCTGCCGTTCTTCGCCCGCCAGCTCGTAGGAGGGACGCGAGCGGTCCCGATACTGACGCGCGCCAGGATTCCCAGGATGTCCAGGTGCTCCGCACAGGGCTGACGAAGCGAGGGCCGCCGGGTGCTCCAGAATTCCCCAACGAGCCCTGAGCTAATCGCATCAAGGCGTCATCTCCGTCCCAGAGCAGGAGGAGGAGGAGGAGGAGGAGGAGCAGGAGGAGGAGGAGGAGGAGGAGGAGGAGGAGGAGGAGGAGGAGGAGGAAGAGGATCGAGGACGACTCCAGCCGTCTTGGGCTTTCGGAGGCCTCCGCGGGCTTCCATCGGGAGCCTCCGAGACCCACGGCGACCTCCGAAGTCCTCCCTCCAGACCTCTGGGTGCCTCTCCCCTTCCCTCTGACCGCTTTTGTGGCTGTGCTCCTCTCGCTCATCCTTAAGTCGGGCATGTCCGTCTACAGGAGGAATGTTCAAAAATAGTCACAGCATAGTCTGGGGACGATTTTTCGACTACTGTTGACTATTTTTGAAGCCTTCTTGGGCGTTTTTCATTGATCGTCCAGGATCCGCCTGTAGGGGGACGTGCCCGACCTAAGCTTATCCTCTTCTGCTCCCACCTCGCCCTCCTGCGCTTCCTGCTGCTGCTCCGCCTCCTCTCGGGTCGGGCCAGAGGGGGGGACAGGGAAAGGGCGGGCCGCGACATCTGCTGCACGCCGCTGGTTTCGGCCTCGCCACTGGACTCCTTCCTCTACTCAATTGGCGCCGGGAGGCGCCAGAAGAATCAACTACGTGAGGTAGGTCTCTATTCCCCCTTTTACTTTTCGTCCGACCCGATCCTCGCGTCTCCCTTCTCGCTACAACCATCACTCCCCCTGCTCGCATTTCGTCTCCGCGCTGCGTTGCCATGATTGCTTCGCGGGCGTCGCCGAAGATGCTGCTAGCTTGGTGGAGCCGGTCGCCGTAGATGCTGATGGCTTGGCGTATGATTTGTGCCCTCAGCTTAGAATATTGTTCCCTCGATGCAGGGGCCCTCAACTCTAGGGCATTTTGCGGTGGGCTGAGGGGCCGATTTGTTTGTGATCCCTTTGCCCTCCCTTAATTCAGCATGTCACGCGCTGACGTGTCTTGTTTGAGAAAAGATCAGGTAGCAGATCATGCTTCCGACGAGCACTGGGCGCAGGGCTGCGGGCGCCGGTTGCTTCAGTCCCTCCCTCCCTCCCTCCACTTCCTTCCTCTCTTCCTCCTAGTCTTTCCCCTTCCCTGTCCGCTGTCTTCCCTCTCCCCCTCCCACTCATTGCGCTCCCCCTTCCAATACCCCTCCTGTTGCCCTTCCTTGGCCCCTCCCTCCTTACCTTTCTCCTCTTCCGTTTACTCCTCGTCATTTGTTCTTAGTTGGTGCTTTCTCCTCGCGCGCAGTACCGTCAATCTCTTACGGATGTGCGTCTGTGGGAGAGCTGCAGTGCAGTGCGGCATGCAGGCCCAGATGAGGCGGATGATTCTCCTCGGATTATTCTCCCCTCAGTGCGTGGGCGGGCGCGGTGCTTGAGATACGGATGATAGGTGCAAGGAGGAGTGTCAAGACTATTGGACAATGAGAGTGCACTGCTCGCCTTGGCCGCTCCCCCCTGACAGACGCCTCCTTGGGGCAGCTCACGATCTGACCCGTACTGCTGTTCACGGCCTGAACACCTGGTGCGGTGTGACCCGTCGCCGCTCCAGGTCTTGGGGGCTCAGTGTGACCGCTCAGGCAGGAGCACGTGCCAAATCCTGCTCCCACTCCTCTGCCTCCCCTCCCTCCCTTACCCCACCTCCTCCCTGCAGCCTCCTCTCCCCTTCCCCCCCCCTCCTTCCCATCCTCCCTCCTCGTTTCTCCCCCCCTCCGCGCTCTTCCCTCCCCTCCTCCCTCCCCCCACCCCCCACCCCCCTTATCCTCTCACCTCCTCTCATACTCCCTCTTCCCCCAACGGAGACGAGGCACAATAACACATCCGACGACATCCGCCCTCGCGCGCGCGCCCGCGCGGGGAGGGGGAGGAAAGGGCGGAAGAGGGAGGGAGGGAGGGAGGGAGGGAGGGGGAGGGGGGATGAGAGGAGAGAGGAAGGGGGGCAGGGGCGAGGAGGAGGAGGAGGAGGAGGAGGAGGTGGAGGAGGAGGAGGAGGAGGAGGAGGAGGAGGAGGAGGAGGAGGAGGAGGAGGAGGAGGAGGAGGAGCAGGAGGAGGAGGAGGATTTTCACATGCACCTTTCCCAAGCCAGCAGTGCAAGTCAGGGCTGAAAACGGTGGCCTTGGCGGTGGCTGACGTTGGCGGCGACCCCAGGACCCCGAAACAAAGCCTACGCCGAGCGGTCGGCCAGCTCGGCGCTCACGCGGGCAGCTTTCGCGCGAGGAGCCTCCTCCTCCTCGCTGCAAGCCTCGCGGTGCCTCCCCTCCCTCGCATTGGGGGGAGGGGCGGCCGAAACGGAGGGAGAGGACCCAGCAGCGCCCTTCTTGGGCACGTCGCACGACGCAACGACGCCGGGAACGTGCTGCTGGGTCCTCTCGCCGAGGCAGGACGAGCTACTGCCAGCGAGCCAGGGACGGCCCTGGCAAGGAGGGACAGGCGCGGGCCAGCTTGCTGGGGGGTCCCGCGGAGTCGCATGGCCGTCTGCTCCTTCCAGGAGCTGCGGCAGCGGAAACGGCGCGAGGAGCGGGCGTAACGCTCGCCTGAGCACCTGCGGGAACGTGATGCCCGGCAGCGCTCCCCTCAGGGGCGCCAGGCTGAGGTGCGCCCCGAGCAAGACATGCACGGGATGCCTTGGACACAGGGCCTTCAGGCCCACACGCGCGCTTCCTCCCTCCAAGGGGAGCTGCAGCACTTGAATCGCCCATCGAGGGCAGAACATGTGGTATATCCTGGCCCGCAGCAGGAACGACACACGACGGATCAACGACAGGATCAACGACAGGACCAGGCTGCGGGCCAGTAGAGGAGGGGTCGCTGCTGCCCTCCTCGCACATACTGAGAACATCATGCGTATCAGCCTCCACAACTTCGGGGGAGACTTCCACCCAGACTCCTGCGAGACGCGGGTGCTTGCCTTTACAGATCCTGTACTTCCAACGCTCCGCATTGTTTCTGGTTGGGCGTCCACACTTGGTCCCAAGGAGGGCAAGGGGGCCCAGAGTGGAAACAGCTTTGCAGCCGACACATACAAAGAGGGGAGAATCGTCGCTGCACTGAAACGGGAGCAGGCGGTGGCGGCGAGACGCTACGCTCCACAGCGCTGCAGGGATCACTCCAGAGCACCCAGAGGCGTCGGGTTTAGCTGAGCTGCCAAATCTAAATTCCAGGGGCCTGCGCGTACGACGACAAACACTGCAGCGCCAATCTGAACGACACCACTCCCAGTCATGCTCAGCAGTGCCTGAGTTGGTTGTGGTGATTTTCCGAGGGGGCTTGGCCAACTCGACCTCGCTGAGGTCGAGGCGGGGCCACAAGGGTAAATTCCGAGCTGCCAACAGGCAGACCGCCTTGGAGACACGAATTTTGTGAAACATATCTGTCTGCTGTTCATCTGTCTGCCGAGGGTGGGCAACTAAGCCAGGTTTAGCTGCTTCGTCAGCAGCGTCATTGCCTGCCTTAAGGAACCTATCCCTTTCGGACAGATCCTCAGATTCTACAACATGAGCCTTGACTTTGTGCAGAGGTTCAATCCAATGCTTGGAAAGGCTGGAACACATGAGACCCGCATATGGCCTCTTGTGGGACAGTTTGAGGGTTCGGGGCTCCTGGTGGGCAAACAACATTCAAACAGTCGGAGAAACCCACAGAGGGACCACCACTGCATTGAGAAGAGGCTTCCAGAGCACTGGACTCCCCGGCTTGGCTAGTCTGGGGGAGCGGGCCCCAAAGAGGCCCAAAAGCGCTAAAAACTTTGGAGCCGTCGTCTCTATGGGCTGTAACCCCCTAGCTTGCTCTAGATAACTCTTTGATGCCATGACGTTGACAGCTCCCGTCCATGAAAATGTTGCCAGAGACAGCCGTGTCCTCTCTACCTGGCTCTTCCTCCCATCTGGTGGTGATCCCGCCATCTCTGCAGGGACGAGGCACTTCGTCACCCGGGTGTGGGAAAATACCCTTGGTGTACAACAGCAAGGTGGCGGGATCAGTGGTATCGCACGACCGAGCGGCTTCCTGAATCCGCTCCTTGACGAGCTCATCCCGATCCGACTGACAATGGGGGCAACACCAAAGACGATGCATTAAGCAGTCGGGGGCGGCCAGATCAGAATCCATCTTATATCCGAGGGCAATCGCGCGATCCAGGGTCCAAGTCGCTCCGCAACTAAGCCCACGGATGCAGCCCTTTTCCAGGGCCGAGAATTTGCTGGAGCGAAGCTGGGCTTCCACCACATCGTAACAAAGACGCTTACCTGTACCAAGAGCCTGGCCTGGGTCTCTCTGCAGCTGTC